ATATAATTCTTATGATAAGAATTTGATTTCTTGTTTTAAGAAAGTATTTCTTAGAACAAGAAAATCATATTTTCTTAAGAAAATAATTGATATGAAGATGAAAAAATGGTAGGAAAATACATTCTTGGTTTAAGAAAACAAATATAATCCAAGATATGTTAAATCTTTTTTTTCTTATTTCAAGAAAAAATATCTTGCCAATGAAATATTTCTTATTTTAAGAATCTATTTCTTATTAAGAAAATCCGTTTCTCGTTTTAAGAAATAATTTCTTAAATTAAGAATTTTTTTCTTAATAAGAAAATGATTTTTTGCTGTGTATATGAAGTAATAGAAAATCCACGTCAGTCTTAACTTCGCAATGATACCGCAAGCATTGTGCTCTGACAAAGCTCATCACATACCATTACAAGCAGGTTGTTGTAGGTAGTTCGCCTTTGCACCGATACTACAAACAAAAATTGAGGCAAAACCTATAAGAAACTAACTTGCGTGGCAGGCGTTTATTTTCTTGCGGGCAGTGAGGACGGCGAGAAAAATAAACGCCGGCCGTAATGCCATTGTGAAAAGCGTTTTCGCGGCCTTTTTCACCGTGATTGACATTTGCAGTTAGCCCCTTTGCACGTAATCCAACCAGCTTCGAGATTTATAATTAGCATTATATTCCATCAGATTCTTTTATTCAATATCCTTTTGGAACTTCTCTGTTCTGATTTTAACTGAATTTGAAACCGAAACGACGCATTTTCAGCCATTTTGAAGAAAGCAGAACGAAGTTTAGGGAAACAACAGACTTATTTGCGTAAATAAATGCCTGAAGCAAGCGCAGTGTAATTTCTTCCGGCAAAGAAAATTGACCAATGGGGGAAGTTTTCTCGGCTAAAAACGCTTTTCACCATGGTATTACGGCAGGCGTTTATTTTTCTCACCGCCCGCTAGCAAATGAGCACTAATAGGAACGCTAATAAGAAACAAGATATAGCATCTCGATCGTCCCTCGTCGCTTCAGTTGGGAATAGAGATCACTGGAAAAACACCGCGCGTACGGATAACGGATGAGGGATTGTGGAAGAGAGAGTCAGTAACATCTCACCTGAATTAGTGTTTATCTTGTATTCCTTCGTGTAATTACCAGGCCCAAGTGGTGGTTTTAGCTCGAACTTTGAAGTAGTAGACAGTTGCGGGCAGGAGTTCATCCAACTTAACAAATTTGTTTCTGCTTCAATGTATGAAACGTTTCCTTTACTACTGCAGTTGCTTCGTAACCGTTGGGTAGAATAACACAGTTGATATGATATAATGATTGCAACTCTTCGGTGGAGAACTGGAGGGGATATATATATATATATATATATATATATATATATATATATATATATATATATAAATATATATATATATATATATATATATATATATATATATATATATATATATATATATATTATATATATATATTTAATAGATTTGAAGATTTGTAATCCAGGCATTTTATTAAATTATAATTTTTACAAAATTATACAGTGTTCTCCGGATTGTAATAATTTGTTTTAAAACAAATTATTACAATCCGGAGAACACTGTATAATTTTGTAAAAATTATAATTTAATATATATATATATATATATACACATTTGAATTTCCGTGCAACATTGACTGAGCAATCGATGTTTTAAATCGAATAACCATATATCATAATGTTAAAAAAATTGCATAAAATTGCCTATCAAATATTATTTGGTTGAATTTGATATGTAGTTTTGTTGTGGCCAAAAGAACGAATGAAAAACATAATTGCTGGATAAACATTTATTCATTCATCAGAGAAAGTACGCCCTCTTGCACGTACGCAATCAGTCTTGAACGGGAAATGATTAAAACCCAATCTCTTTGACCTTTTGTTAATCGAGGCATTGATTCGAAAGGCGAACGAAGACCAACTTTATAATACGAACTCCCAAAGGACGTCAAATATGCTTTCAAACGTTTTTAAATGTTTCATGATTATTTCGCTTCCCAAGAAACACGGAAGGTTAACTTATACCAGGACATTACCCGAAGTTAAGGTTGAGTTGAAATGCTGAAATGGAAATTGGTAATTTTTGTGGAAAATGGCAATTGTTTTCATATGAATTTGATCAGCCGTGTTTCTCGATTTTTTTACTCATTTTTGAAGCGTGCGCCAAATTCAAACATTTGTATCTCACGTAAAATTGCATGGTATTTTTAGAGTTGTATATCAAGATCCAAGTTAGCCTTTCCAATAAAACTTATTTGAGTGTAATAGTTTTTAACTTAATACATGAAATCAAACAGCGCAAGTTTTTTGGGGGACACCCGGTATATATATTGTCGCGTAACTTAGTGCGATTTAAGTCACGCTGGTTGCTGGCTCACGATTCAAGACACTTCACACGTGGGACTGTATTTTTTGTATATATTTATTAAGTACAGATATTTACACTTGTTTAGTGCACGTCGTTTTACAATGATGTAATTACAATTACCCAACACGATTCTCAACTCTCAATTTGCGATTCAAAATAACACACACACATAACGCGTTCAACACGACAATAACCAATACCAATCACCAAACCCAATAATCAATAATACACTTTTTAGCCTATATTTATATTAACAGAACAGGAATACATATTTTCTCTACCACAACTTCCCTTACGTAAATGGAACACGTTTATTGCTATTTTGTTCCCTTTTTGTGGTTCTTAATCCAATTTTGATCTACCACACCATCCCATGCAAGTCATGTCCGTGACGTTCTAATGTGGGATTCTAGGTGTTCCCATTACGATGCAATTTTATAGTGTCCTGTATCACGTTTAATGATACAAATAATGTTCTCTCTCTCTCTCTCTCTCTCTCTCTCTCTCTCTCTCTCTCTCTCTCTCTCTCTCTATATATATATATATATATATATATATATATATATATATATATATATATATATATATATATAATATTTTTAACACAGGACAAATAGACATTACACACAGAATACATAACATTTTGCGACATATATATAAGTTATACTGATAAGTTGAAAATGTTGTCGAGTGTGTATTCCATAATCTCCATACCCAGCGCAAGCAGAAAGATATTGTCTGCCGCGGCTGGGTCTTGAACCCGCGATCTTGGAATTACTAGATCGACGCTCTACCAACTGAGCTACACGGTCAGACGGATTTAAGACTGGAAATTATGCTGAACTATATACTGAATGTCATAAACATACTCGTTTATATTAATTCAGCATCGAACCATACTAGTTCTGCAAGTGTTATGTTATGTTGTGTTATTGTTCACTCCGTACTATGATAAGTTAAAATGTTCTCGTGTGTGTATTTCATAATTTCCATACCCTGCGCAAGCAGAAAGATATTGTCTGCCGCGGCTGGGTCTTGAACCCTCGACCTTCGAATTACTAGATGGAAATTGTGAAATACACACTCGAGAACATTTTCAACTTATCATATTACGGAGTGAACAATAACACAAAATAACATAACACTTGCAGAACTAGTATGGCTCGATGCTGAATTAATATAAACGAGTACGTTTGTGACATTCAGTAGGCCTATATAGTTCATAATTTCCAGTCTTAAATCCGTCTGACCGGGTAGCTCAGTTGGTATAGCGTCGATCTAGTAATTCGAAGGTCGCGGGTTCAAGACCCAGCCGCGGCAGACAATATCTTTCTGCATGCTTGCGCTGAGTCTGGAAATTATGAAATACACACTCGAGAACCCAGAAAGGAAGTGGTATGGTATGGTATGGTATGGCGTGCCGTGTTATGGTGCGGTATGCTATTTTTACATGTTATGCGGGAGCTGCAATACAAATTATCCATGCTGTTTTTTATCACTTTGTTTGGTTATCATGGTATGTGCTAAAATATTTATTCATTTCAGTGTCGGTGATCGGTGCGAAGATATTCAGCTCACCGGTTCGCGTCTCGGTGAGTGTCCTTGCGCGGTTCGTCTCCACTACCTACCCTAATTCCGTCTTTACACCAGAAACCTATAAACCATCATCCCAAACCCTATACTTAACCCTATCCTATAATATTTATGCCATACAATACCAGATACCATGTCATATTACACAAAATACCTGAACTACTGCTCACTGTTCTAGACGTACTTTCAGTGCCTATCATGTTTGTCCTTACAGGATCTGACCACGAGCTTGAGTAATAGCTATCCTATACAAAACAGTAAAAGAAATTCCTAACGGCCGGTTGTGCACTGTCTTCCGGAGTTACGACCAGCTAGGTTCGCCAGCTAATTATAGTCTAGGACCTGTATATGAGTTTGTATGCGATTCATTTAGGACAGGTAATCTCAACTGTTTTAGGGTAAAATGACCATGGCGGTCAACATGGCATATGTGTGAAAACCTGAATCCGGGACGAAAGTCCTAAAAATGACCCCGCCCGGCTGATACGGCAGTGCCGACATAACTCTAACTTCCGAAAAGGAAAAGCGACAGCCTTTCTGAAGTGCTTATAGTCTTCAGAAGGGTTGCTTTTAGGGGTGGTCATTGGAAGGAAAAAAAATTGTCTAAGTATAATATTTTACCAGAAAATGACTATGCACCACCCCAGGTAAATTGCTGATTATGCACAAAATAACTAATATGCCCGGCAGAAATTAAATTTTCTTTTTTCCTAAAAAAAATTATCATGGGATGAAAAACTATGCTTAGTTGAATATAATTATTGTAGTTTTCATAAGGATTGTCATTGTTTTCTTTTAATATAACACATTTTAATTCACTTACCCCCCACGAAAACACGATTTCAGCCATACTTTGCCGTCTTTTTTGCTTTTTATCGCCGAGTCTCGCAAATATCATCCAGTTGTTGTACTTTTACATAATCATAAAGGGCTAAAGAATATTTCAACCAAGTTTCATCAAGTTGTGAGACAGTGCAGTGTATTTTACCTTCGATATTGTGTCCTTCGATATTTCGTCAATTTGCCGCCATTTTAATGGCTCGCCGCCGCTTCTCTGTCCGATAAATGCCACTTCTTCATTTTCATATGTATTTAGATTACAGTATCCAAGAGTACTTCATTGTAGAATAGTCCCAATCGAAAAATTGACAATATTTTGTCCCATTTGGAAGGAAAAACCCTCCCGTATACCATTTAGGTTCAAAATAAAAAACAAATCATTTGAAAGTCACGCACAATCTTCGCGAAAACTTCTCGTAGACACATGACAGGGGGGGGTGGATATTTTCACGAAACGTTTGTTCGCCACCACAGAAACATAACTAAATATATCGTATTTATTGTATTTTTATGATTTATGATAAAAACAATAAATATTTGCGTAGTTTTGTCATAAATCATAAAAATACAATATATTTAGTTATGTTTCTGTGGTGGCGAACAAACGTTTCGTGAAAATATCCACCCCCCTGTCATGTGTCCACGAGAAGTTTTCGCGAAGATTGCGCGTGACTTTCAAATGATTTGTTTTTTTATTTTGAACCTAAATGGTATACGGGAGGGTTTTTCCTTCCAAATGGGACAAAATATTGTCAATTTTTCGATTGGGACTATTCTACAATGAAGTACTCTTGGATACTGTAATCTAAATACATATGAAAATGAAGAAGTGGCATTTATCGGACAGAGAAGCGGCGAGCCATTAAAATGGCGGCAATTTGACGAAATATCGAAGGACACAATATCGAAGGTAAAATACACTGCACTGTCTCACAACTTGATGAAACTTGGTTGAAATATTCTTTAGCCCTTTATGATTATGTAAAAGTACAACAACTGGATGATATTTGCGAGACTCGGCGATAAAAAGCAAAAAAGACGGCAAAGTATGGCTGAAATCGTGTTTTCGTGGGGGGTAAGTGAAATAAAATGTGTTATATTAAAAGAAGACAATGACAATCCTTATAAAATCCACAATAATTATATTGAACTAAGCATAGTTTTTCACCCCATGATAATTTTTTTTAGGAAATAAGAAAATTTAATTTCTGCCAGGCATATTAGTTATTTTGTGCATAATCAGCAATTTACCTGGGGTGGTGCATAGTCATTTTCTGGTAAAATATTATAATTAGACAAACTTTTCCTTCCAACGACCATCCCTAAAAGCAACCCTTCTGAACACTATAAGCACTTCAGAAAGGCTGTCGCTTTTCCTTTTTGGAAGTTAGAGCTATGTCGGCACTGCCGTTTCAGGGCGGGGTCATTTTCAGGACTTTCGTCCCGGATTCAGGTTTTCGCACATATGCCATGTTGACCGCCATGGTCATTTTACCCTAAAACAGTTGAGATTACCTGTCCTAAATGAATCGCATACAAACTCATATACAGGTCCTAGACTATAATTAGCTGGCGAACCTAGCTGGTCGTAACTCCGGAAGACAGTGCACAACCGGCCGTTAGGAATTTCTTTTACTGTTTTATATAGGATACCTATTACTCAAGCTCGTGGTCAGATCCTGTAAGGACAAACATGATAGGCACTGAAAGTACGTCTAGAACAGTGAGCAGTAGTTCATGTATTTTGTGTAATATGACATGGTATCTGGTATTGTATGGCATAAATATTATATGATAGGGTTAAGTTTCCTAGTTTGGGATGATGGTTTATAGGTTTCTGGTGTAAAGACGGAATTAGGGTAGGTAGTGGAGACGAACCGCGCAAGGACACTCACCGAGACGCGAACCGGTGAGCTGAATATCTTCGCACCGATCACCGACACTGAAATGAATAAATATTTTAGCACATACCATGATAACCAAACAAAGTGATAAAAAACAGCATGGATAATTTGTATTGCAGCTCCCGCATAACATGTAAAAATAGCATACCACACCATAACACGCCATACCATACCATACCACTTCCTTTGTGGGTTCTCGAGTGTGTATTTCATAATTTCCATACCCAGCGCAAGCATGCAGAAAGATATTGTCTGCCGCGGCTGGGTCTTGAACCCGCGACCTTCGAATTACTAGATCGACGCTATACCAACTGAGCTACCCGGTCAGACGGATTTAAGACTGGAAATTATGAACTATATAGGCCTACTGAATGTCACAAACGTACTCGTTTATATTAATTCAGCATCGAGCCATACTAGTTCTGCAAGTGTTATGTTATGTTGTGTTATTGTTCACTCCGTAATATGATAAGTTGAGAATGTTCTCGAGTGTGTATTTCACAATTTCTATCTAGTATTGTTGACAAGTCGCTCGCAGTACGTATTGTTGACAAGTCACTCGCAGTAACTCGCAGTACGTTTGTCAGTCCTTGTATTTGTAATGCCTATATATATAGTGGCGCAATCAGGATAAAAATACCACCGTTCGATTCAGCGTAAGAAATTGTACTCACGGATGTCAAATGTATTACTAAACACCAGGGGTAGAACTTTCAGGTGCGGACTATGCACCATGGAAAGCCGCATTCATGTCAGTTGTGGACGAGGCTGCTATATCTACGAAAGAGAAAATGCTCCGCCTCCAGAATAGTTTGACGGGAAAAAGCATTAAGGATGGTTAAGGACTTGGGTTTCACTGTCAATGCATACGAGAGGGCGAAAGAGAAACTAGAGAAAAAGTACGGCGGGGAAATAAGACTTCAGATATCAAATCTGACGACACTTCGTGGGTGGTCAAAATTGAGACCAAACGTACATACATACATACATACATAAAAATTTATTTAAACACGTTAGCCCTAACATCTTTTGATGGTTTCCATAGGGGACGTGTAAGAATAAGACTAATACATATACATAATACAAACTATTTACATGATTATTAGTTTGACAATTAACAAACATAAATAAATAACAAACATACAAAACTATTTACATACTTATGGTTTTCGAAAATGTAGTTTCATTAGTCTTTTGAAACAACTGAAAGAATTGGATTGTTTAGCAGTAATTGATAAGTTATTCCAAAGAGTTGCTCCACTATAACTGAAGGTCTTTTTCTTAAATTGTGATTTTGGAAATGGAAGTACCAGATCTGTTTGAGAATTTCTTAATTGGTGTGTAATTGGACAATCACTTATTTTCAAAAAAATTTCTTTCAGGTTTGGAGCCGTTTCATTATTTAAGATTTTGTAAATAAAAATGGATTTCAAGTATTTTCGCCTATTGTCGAGAGTTTGCCACCCCAAAGTTGCAAGAACATTGGCCGACCTAATATCATAAGATGCTCCTGTTATTACTCTAGCAGCTCGGGATTGACATTTTTGTAGTTTTTCCTTTAGGACGATTCCACAGGTATCCCACAATTGACAGCAGTAGTCAAAATAGGGTTGTATTAAGGCGTTGTAAACTGTTTGTAAGAATTTCTGAGGAACACAGGTTTTCATACGTTTAATTACTGCAATGCCTGCATTAACTTTCTTAATAATCGCATCAATATGATGTTCCCAGTTCAATTTTTCGTCCAAAGTGACACCGAGGCATTTGTAGCAATTTAATCTTGGGACAGGAACATTATTAATTAATATCGGTATTCCTTGAGGTATATTCTTAATTTTATAAGGGGATGCAATAAACATACATTTAGATTTCTTACTTCTTGGGATGAATTTGTAGTTTATTATTCTCCATCCATTGCGTAACAATATTTAGGTCATAATTTATGTTGTCAATAAGATCATTTACATTGTGTGATCACGTGTAAATTTCCGTGTCACCAGCATAAAGATCCGGCGTGGTTTTTTGGAGACATTGTGGTAGGTCATTGATGTAGAGCAAAAATAACAACGGCCCCAGGATCGACCCCTGGGGGACCCCACATTTTAATTTTCCAACGGAGGATAGTATCCCATTAGCTATGCATTGTTGTTCCCTATTCGTTAGGTATGATTCAAACCAGAGTAATTCATTACCGCTAATGCCAAAGTTGGATCTCATTTTACTTAATAAAATATTGTGATTTATTGAATCAAAAGCTTTCCGTATGTCTAAAAATACTATACAGTTTATTTTCCCCTCGTCCATGTTATTTAAGATTTCGTCACATATTTTAATGAGGGCTGATAGGGTTGAGTGTTGTGGCCGAAAGCCAGATTGATACTTTGAGAGAAGATTACTTTCATTCACGTATGTATACACTTGCCTAAACACTTCTTTTTCAAAGACTTTACTTACAATTGACAAAATAGAAATGGGTCTATAATTTTCACATTTACTTTTATCTTCCGATTTGAAGATAGGAATTACTCAAGCTCGTTTCCAATCGTTAACATAAATACCGCTTTGAAGAGATAAATTAAAAATATACGTTGAGGAAGGGGCAATAATATGGGCAGCTAGTTTTAGTATTTTCGCTGGAATGACATCTAGGCCAGAGGATTTATTTGCTTTAAGGTGTTTCAAATTACAGAGGCCACTATCAACCGTAATGAGAGAAAAATTAAATTTATTATTAGTTTGGGAATGGATGTTTGTGTCAGAGAAATCAAGATTTTCTCCACAATCGTTTGGCGTATCATTTTCATCAGGGTACACTCCAATGTTGATGAAGTGTGTATTAAAATGCTCCGCAATGAGATTAGGGTCTGTGATGACATTTTCACCAACTTTGAGCTCGCTAATATAATTGGATTTATTTTGTTTCCCTAGCAGGGAATTTATTGTAGACCAGCATTTTTTTAAATCCTTAGTTTCTGCACATTCAGATATTTTGTTGATATAGAAAGTAGATTTTGTCTCACGTATTAGTTTATTAACTTTATTACGCAAACTCTTATAATTATGCCAATGTGAATCAGATTTCAATTTTATGGCCTTTTTCTTATGGTAGTCTCTTCTTCTCATAGCTGACCTTATTTCCGCTGTCATCCACGGAGTGGTGTGTTTCCCTGATCTTATATGTCTAACAGGAGCATGTTTATCTAGTGTTCCGATAAGTAGTTCCTTCCACTTATTCCAACTCAAGTTTGGATCACTTGTTGTTTGCCAAGGAATATTGGTTAGGTCTGATATAAATTCTGTTTCAGAAAAAAAGTGTTTAAAATTACGAACTTTTTTAATAGTCGGCCTTCGTTTAAGTGGTTTGAATTTGTGAACTGCATATATTAGGCTATGATCTGATATACCAACGTGAAAGACGCCAGCATGAGAAATTTTTTCAGGAACATTCGTCAGAATAAGGTCAATTATAGTAGCAGATGTTCTCGCAACCCTGGTTGGTTCTTCTATTAACTGAGCCATGTTATATAATGAATTTATAGATTGAAATCTACTTGTATGCGCTTCTGGTGGAGATTTAGCAACATCACAGTTTATATCTCCTAATAGGATTAGTTCTTTGTTTTCAGCATCACAATTAAGAAAAATATCGTATGCATCAAATACATCCGTACTTGAATTAGGTGGTCTATACCATGTACTAACTAGAAATGATCTGTTGAAAGGTTGATTAATTTCGATACAGATCATTTCCAGATTATTTGGGACTAAGTCATTTCTAACCAAAATGGAGAGGTATTCTTGAACATATATTACAACACCACCTCCATTTCTATTTCTATCTCTTCTAACTAGTTTATAACCTGGTATACTTATTTCAGAGTCATTTACTAATGAATCAATTTTTGTTTCGTTAATAGCAAAGATGTGAAAGGAATACTTTGATAAAATATAACGAATATGTTCAATGTTTTTTAATAGACTATTGATATTTAGACTACCAAGTTTCAGACCTTTTAGTTTTCCCATCCGTTTGAATTGGCAGGTTACATCTTCATCATGCATGCTTAGAGGATATGGAAGAATTCTTGGCACTATTGGACAGAGTATTAGTGTCATTACGAGATAGTGGACATGGAGCAGAGACAATGGACAGCATCTTAATTTGACAGCGAAAGAGAAATTGTCAGCAAAGGATGTTGAAGCATATAAATACTGGTTGTTTGAACGAAGTGAACGAGACACCTTCGAGAATCTTGTGAGTTGGCTGGAGATGATGGTGCAAATAATGGACGAGACCAAAGACGAGAGGCGAGACGACAAGAGTGATGACAAGGTTGAGAAGAAAAGACGAGATCGTGGATTTGGTACTAACAACAAGCGAAGACCAAGAGGATGTGTGGTAACGACCTGTAAGGAAGACCATCCGCCATGGGTCTGCCCATTATTTAAGAAAATGACTATTCTCGAACGAAAAGAGCTTATCTCAAAAAGTGGACGGTGTTTCCGATGCCTGGCAATGGGGCATCAAAGTAGAGATTGCAACAACGCAAGAAAATGTGGAACTGATGGCTGTACAAGCGACCGTCATAGTAGATATTTTCACGAGAATAATCAGCTACGACCTGATGACTCGTCAACCCACCAAACTCGGAGCAAGAACCCTGAGGATTCCTCACCCCCCATTACCAAACCTCAAGATGACGCCCGAGAGACAACCCACGTCCCACGCAACCAACAAAGTCGACAATGTATCGTTGATGGTCTTACCAGCTCTCATCACGAATGGAAGAAGGAAATTGAAAGTAAACGTGATGTTCAATCCTTGCTCTACTGGAACTTATGTGACAGAGAGTGCTTCGCATGAACTTGATTTACGTGGCCAAGTTCAAAGTTTGACAATTTCCGGGACGGGTGGATCTCAAGTCAAGAAACAATCTCGCTGAGTTGAACTGTCCGTGACCAGTTTTAGTGAAGAATTTTCAACTAAGTTGCATGCAAACGTGCTTAAAAATATCACAGGAGAGACTCCTGCATTTCAGTGGTCAGAGCTGAAGGAAAAGTGGCCACACCTTTCGATAGTGTATCGAGACGGAGTCAGATTGATGTCCTCATCGGGAGTGATCATCCTATCGTCCATCGCGTGCTGCGAGAAGTGCACGGTCCTAAAGATGATGATCCTATCGCACGACTGACCAACTTGGGTCTGTTTCGGCCCAGCACTGTCTTCCAGATTCCGTAGTGACATTCGAACGCATACTAACAGAACATACCAGGCAGCAGACGCCTCCTCAACCGAACAAGCGACCAATGACGCACTACGAAGATTTTGGGATCTTGAATCATTGGGCATCAAGGATGACTCGGGTCAACCAACATTGACCCTGACGAGCAAGCCGCAGTTGATCAGCTTCAAGAAACACAAAAGTTGGAGGACGGGAATTATGAAATTGGAATTCCTTGGCGAAAATTTGAACCGAGGTTCAGTGAAAATTACGACATGGCGTTATCCAGGCTTGAGAGCCTGGAAAAGTCTCTATCGAAGAAAGGCCCTGGGGTGAAGACAGCTTACCAGAGAATCATCGACGACTATATAGCAAAAGATTACGTAAGAATAGTGCCTAAGACAGATGAAAATCAGTGGTTTCTGCCACACTTCCCGGTTGTAAGAGAAGATAAATCTACTACCAACGTCCGTGTTAAGTTGTGTTCGACGCCGCCGCTCAACACAAGGGAAAGAGTCTCAACGATGCTATTTTACCTGGCCCGAAGTTACAACGCGAGTTGTTCGACGTGTTAATACGGTTCCGTCGTGCTCCGGTGGCTCTCTCAGCTGACAGGTCAGAGATGTTTCTGCAAGTTCGATTGCGAGAGGAAGATCGTCCTTTTCACCGGTTCCTGTGGCGGAGTTTCGAGACTGCAAGAGAACCAGATGTGTATGAGTTTCAACGCCTTCCGTTCGGGAATACTTCATCGCCATTTTGTGCTCAACATATGATGTTGCTCACAATATGCACGTCCAAGCTCATGCCACAGAGTATCCAAAGGCTGCCGAGACAGTCGACAACTCGATGTACGTGGACGACGTCCTCGATTCGTGTGAGACCACCCAAGAAGCCCAAGTTCTACAAAGTGAACTGTCGGTCGTCTTACGCAAAGCTGGTTTTAATCTTAGAAAATGGTTGTCTAATGAGCCATATATATATATATATATATATATATATATATATATATATATATATATATATATATATATATATATATATATATATATATATATATATATATAATTAGGTTTCGTTGTTTACAAAAACATTTGGCAGAGTGCTCAATGGATATGCAGAGCATAATTAAATAAGTGCAACGACTCAACAAATTCCATTAGACATCTTTATTACTATTAGTTTCGCACCACAAGATGTGGCACTCATCAGATAAATTAGCCTTATGACTACAGCAAAAAACCTACAGTATTTATGTACAAGTGGATGAAAGCTTTAAATTAATCACATTTACAAAGCACGCAAAGCAATTATTTTGTTACTTGATAAAATTGACAGGACGCGGAAGTATTAACAACGCATCAGCATAACGCCAAGCTATTAAGATTGCGCGGTATATTTGAAACAAAAATATGTCTGTCTCGAGTGCATGCCCTTTAAATGTTAGCTAAAACATATTTTTTCGCATGTCTGCATGAAGACACTAATTCATTACGTTTGTTCAAAGTAGCCAGTTCAGGTTTACATATAATAAAGTATTTTTCCCGCACACATATATATATATATATATATATATATATATATATATATATATATATATATATATATATATATATATATATATATATATATATATATATATATGTGTGTGTGTGTGTGTGTGTGTGTGTGTGTGTGTGTTGTATAGCATTGTATGGCATTGGTATTGTATATTTGTATGGTATGGTAGGGCATTGTACAATATGGTGCAGGGTGCTATGGCGTGGTAAGGTGCGATATTTCAGGACATGATATAATTGATGTCATCTTATTTTTATCAGAATTATGAAAATGGATAGGAATTGGAGTTGGTGCAGTGATTTTCATTATTCTTGTGGTCATTTCAATTTTGTTTTTCCCGAAGCAAAGGTAGGTCACGCGTTATAAATTAATTTAGTTTACTTCATGTAATATTCCTCTGGCAAAGGATATCAACTTGTTATCATATCTAAATCATGGCAATTCTCTTAGGAAGAAAATAATGAGCAAGAATATTACCAAAGATGAGGTAGACTGCGATAATCCTGAAGCCGGTCAGTTCATTGCATAGATCACCTCAGAAGAAAAGACATCAAATTATAATCTCAAAACATTAATAATTCTTGAAGACGTTAGCCAACCAAATGCATAATTACTTGTTTTGCTCGAATGATAATACCGGTGAAGTATATAAGTTATACTGATCCAATCTTAGGATCAAAACTAATGAGTTCACCTCATTTTTTCGTGTATATAGGCTAGTGATTTATTCGTATGAGGTGTCATATCAAATCTGACAATTGGAAGTACCGGATATCCAGTTCTTGCAATTATTTCAGCAATATCATACCTACCTCGAAATCCTTTGTTTCGCGAGGGACGATGAAGTACTGTTTAATAAACGAGCAGGAGTGTTTTATTAGGTTTAAAGCCACGAGTGCGCATCGCGAGTGGCTTTAGACCTAATAAAATACGACCTGTGAGTTTATTAAACGGCTTCAAACACGACTACAAATTCAATAGATATACTGCCTTATTAGTATTCTTTATACAAAGAATAGTAATGGGGACACGACAACAATAGATTCTGCCTTATTAGTATTCTTTATATAAAGAATACTAATTTGGAGTGTTTATCAGGTTTAAAGCCACTGCACGTGACACATTATGGTTGACATGATTTGCCAATAAGCTTATGAATTATTAATGAGTGTTTGAATGGCTAATTTACCTCATTGTTAAAACATGAAGGACGATTAGAAACTAATTATATCGTCCCTCATCTTTACGCATAACCTCTTATATTGATGTTCAATTAAGTATTTAACAGACATGAAAAATCATCCGTAACCTCATTAACAAACATCCTATAACATTCATGTCAAAAGGAAAACGCGCCTTTTCATTTCAACTCATTCAATCGAATGAAATCGTTTTATTGTTTCGGTATCTACGATATTACAAAGTGATCGATAAGATGGCATTACGGTCGATTATTGATGAAATGTCCCTCAAGCCTTGAGAGGTTTAATAAAAGTCCTTCGGCGTTGCGCGCCTCGGGGGCTATTACTAAACCTCTCTTGGATATTTAAGAGGAGATTTTTTTGTATGTTACGTAACAAGCGCTCAAAACTAATGCGTATAATATGTCACTTGAGGTTATGACTAAATTCAAAATTTTTATTTTTCGAAACGTTTCTCAATCGCCAAAGAAACTTGAAAAGTATGTTTAGTGCTTTATCTGTAAAATAATGCTAAAATGAAGAGATTTTAGATGATACG